TCATCTCCAGTTACATGGTGTTGGCACCTGTGTTTGGCTACCTGGGTGACAGGTACAATCGGAAGTATCTCATGTGCGGGGGCATTGCCTTCTGGTCCCTGGTGACACTGGGGTCATCCTTCATCCCCAGAGAGGTGAGGCCCCCAGCTAGCTCCTGCTTCTGGCCGCTCCCCACGCCCCACTCCCTGTCAATCTTTGCTGCTGCTCCTTGGAATCGTTTCAGACTGGGCCGGGGGGAACTTCTGCAGTTTCCTTGGTTCATGACATTTTATACCCTTTCCTTGCCTGAGTGAATCTGCCTGCTCCACACTCTCCCTTTTCTTGCAGAACCTTCTGCTGTCTCATCCCTCTTTCCCCAACTGACTCCTTTACTCCATAGCTAAATACTCATATGTCTCTACCATGGAAAAAGCTCCCCCTGGACCGCCCTCTCCCCTTCTCCCTTTCCTGAAAGGCCCCTCAAGCAGTCCAGCGCCTGTGGGGGTGAAGGAGCAGCCAGGGAGCCGCTTGCACCTGCCTGCACCTCCTCAGCTCCCCACTTGAGTGCAGCCGGCTGACTTCTGCCCCACTCCAGTGCCCCGGCCATTGCCAAAGTCAATAGTGACCTCCTGGTTGCTCAGTGCTGCTCTTGCTCCTCGTGCTGTTCTCACCCGATCTCCCAGGAGCCCTCAGCCCACTTCTTCCTGAAACCCTCTTCTGCCGCCACCCTCTGCTGGTTTTCCTCCTGCCTCCCTGGCTGTTGCCTCTTTGCCCCTTTGAAATCTCCTTCTGTGCTCACTCTGCCCCGGCTCTGACCTCAGCTCAGGCCCTGCATGTGCTTTCCTCAGTTGTTGTGCCCTGTCCTTAGCTGCAGGTGTCTTTGGTAGATAAGTACTCCCCCTGCCCCAAGATCACTTTCACCACTGAGGCGTTGGGTGGGAGGGGCAAGGTAGAAACTCCGATTTATTCTGTGCCTGAAGGGGACTTGTATCGTGAAGCCCCCACAGCAGCTGTGTGAACAAGTTGTTGTTATTCCCCTTTTGCAGATGAGGAAACTGAGGCTCAGAGAGGTTAAGTAACTTTCTCAAAGTCACAGCTAGTAAGTGGTGGAGCCAGGATTCCAGCCAGGTCTGTCTGATTCTAAACCCAGGCCTCTCCTGCTGTCCCTGCTGCCTCTCTGGCGCTGGCTGGAGAGGTCGCCTGGGAGCTTGGCTCCAAGGTGGGATGCCACCTCCCCCATGTCTCCTTCCCCAGCGTTTCTGGCTGCTCCTCCTGACCCGGGGCCTAGTGGGGGTCGGGGAGGCCAGTTATTCCACCATTGCGCCCACCCTCATCGCTGATCTCTTCGTGGCTGACCAGCGAAGCCGAATGCTCAGCGTGTTCTACTTTGCCATCCCGGTGGGCAGGTGAGCTGGCCGAAGGCCTGGTGGGAGGTGGGGGGCCTATGGGGCTAGACTGATGGATTGCCTGTTTCCTCTGCCCCTCCCCTCCCCGCAGTGGCCTGGGCTACATTGCAGGCTCCAAAGTGAAGGATGTGGCTGGTGACTGGCACTGGGCTCTGAGGGTAAGTCTGGGGACAGACCGCGGGGAGGCTGGTGGCAGTCCTACTTCCCGCTTCCTGACCTCTGGGCGGCTTTCTGTGGCAGTGGTGACTCCGCCAGGCCTGCAGGAAGTCATGTCCTAGACAGCTCTTGTCATGGGTGACAGGAGCCCCTGTAAACTGTGAGCCCCACAGGGACTGTCTTGGCTTTCCGGGTGGAAAGCCCCAAGGTGGTATGAGCAAAGCTGAGCCAGGGCGCCCACAGGTCACCAGGATTTGATAGCTCTCTTCTCAGCTTTTCTTTCCTCTGCATTGACTTCATTTTTCAAGCGTGTGTGCTCCAAATGATTATCTTTGAATTGAGCAACTCCAGCACCTCGAACCCTTAAGGAATAGTCATGGGATGGCAACTGATTAGAGAATGTGGGTCACAGGCTTACCATGAAACCAGCGGGCTGGGGGGGTTAACAGTCCTCTTGTCGGCCAAGTCCGACGTGCTGTTTGGTCCATATGGATTGACAGAAGTGGGGGAAGTGGTTTCCCAAAAGAAAATCAGGGTCCTTTGGCAAAGAGGAAGCCAAGTGACAAGCCCTTCTTCCCTGACTGTGGAGCAGCCTCCTGCAGCAGCCTTCCCTGGTCATGGACAGTGTCCTTGTCCCTGCCTGCCCTCAAGCCCATTTCTCCTCTAGGTGACACCAGGCCTGGGGGTGGTGGCCGTCCTGCTGCTGTTCCTGGTGGTCCGGGAGCCGCCTAGGGGTGCTGTGGAGCGCCACTCGGACTCCCCGCCCCTGAGCCCCACCTCCTGGTGGGCAGATCTGAGGGCTCTGGCAAGAAAGTGAGTTGGATCCCTTCCTGTTCCCCAAGCCCCTTCTGCTTGGCGCGTTGAATGGTCGCAGGCTTTGCTGGCTCCGCTTCCTGCCCGTCAAACCTGGAGCCAGCGGTTTGGCCACCCCTGTTCCCTTGTGGCATCTGCCTGGATTACAGGGCCAGACCCTGGTCAGCCCGGGCAGTTTGCTCAAGGCAGTGCCTTTCCTCCTCCTCCCCACTGTCCGTAGCCCCAGTTTCATCCTGTCTTCCCTTGGCTTCACTGCTGTGGCCTTTGTCACGGGCTCACTGGCCCTCTGGGCCCCTGCATTCCTGCTGCGCTCCCGTGTGGTCCTGGGGGAGACGCCCCCCTGCCTCCCCGGAGACTCCTGCTCTTCCTCAGACAGGTACCCGGGTGGGGTGAGCTGAGGTCCTGCAGGTGGCAGGGTGGAGACGTGTGGTTCAGACTGGGGCAAGGCCAGTTTGAATCCGAGCCCTGGCTTCTGGAGATGCTTGAGGGGATGACGTGGGGCCCAGGGGTCTGGGTAGACTTGGAGGTGAGGGTGGCTGGGAGGGCCAGGCCAGGGACCGTGTAGGCAGAAGGCTGAGCCCCATGTCTCTACCCGGCCCTAGCCTCATTTTTGGGCTCATCACGTGCCTCACTGGGGTCCTGGGCGTGGGCCTGGGTGTGGAGATCAGCCGCCGCCTGCGCCGTGCCAACCCCCGGGCGGACCCACTGGTTTGTGCCACCGGTCTTCTGGGCTCTGCTCCCTTCCTTTTCCTGGCCCTCGCCTGCGCCCGTGGCAGCATCGTGGCCACCTATGTGAGTAGCCAGCCGGTTAAGGTGGCTTTCCGGGGCCGGGTGGAGGAACTGTGCAGCAGTTCAAGGTAGCATGCCTGGTTTTAAGTCTCTCTACCCTTCCCCGCTTTGTGACACTGGGCATGTTTAGCCTCTCTGAGCCCGGTTTTGTCGTGTAAATGAGACCGGTAGTAGCACCTGTCCTGTGGGGTGTGGAGAGAATGCTTGAGTGGATGGCAGACGGTTCCTGTGTTTGCTCTTGCTGTGGTGCCCACTTCCTCCTGCCCCTTAGATCTTCATCTTTGTGGGAGAGACCCTGCTGTCTATGAACTGGGCCATTGTGGCTGACATCCTGCTGGTGAGTGGCCGGCGCTCCACTGTTAGCCCAGACCTAATGAGCACAGGGAGTGGGCGCGGGGGCGGCCTGTGGTCCTGGCCCTTTGCCCTCTGCTCCCCGAGAGCCCCACGCTGAGCACCCTCCTCCCCCAGTATGTGGTCATCCCCACGCGTCGCTCCACCGCCGAGGCCTTCCAGATCGTGCTGTCCCACCTGCTGGGCGATGCAGGGAGCCCCTACCTCATTGGCCTGGTGAGCATGGCCCCTCGCTGGGACGGGGGGTTTGGGGCCCTGCCCTCCCGGCTTCAGCCTCGACGTGGGCCTCTCGCCTTGGGTTCTCCGCTGGCTGCAAGGGATTTTGTCTGCAGATTCCTCCCACGAGGCCACGGACCTCACCCTGGAGGTCCAGGCTGCCCTCCCTCCCGGGCTCCATTTCCCTCTCCTGTGTCCGGGCCACCCCAACCCCTCCCAGGCCGCTCTGACTCCCACTCTGCTCCCACAGATCTCAGACCGCCTCCGTCGGAGCTGGCCCCCGTCCTTCCTGTCCGAGTTCCGGGCTCTGCAGTTCTCACTCATGCTCTGTGCCTTCATTGGGGCACTGGGTGGCGCTGCCTTCCTAGGCACCGCTGTCTTCATTGAGGGTGATCGCCGGCGGGCCCAGCTCCATGTGCAGGGTAAGTGGGCTGCTCCACATCCCCTTCCCCACACTCCTATTTCTGTCTTTCCATCCGGCCCAGCCTGGTACCCAGCATCCACAGTGCCTGCTCACCCATCAGCTTCCAGTCTGTCTGTCCCCAAGCTGCTGTCCGTCTATGTCCGAGGTTCTGGCTGGGCGTCTATCTGTCCCCCAGCCCTGGTGCTGACCCCACCTCCCACAGGTCTGTTGTCTGAGGCCGGACCCTCCGATGACCGAATCGTGGTGCCCCAGCGTGGCCGCTCCACCCGGGTCCCTGTGTCCAGTGTGCTCATCTGAGGCCGTTGCTCGCCTGTCCGAGTCTGCTGCAGCTGGCCCTGGGCTGCCCCTGAGGTGCCCGGCCCGGCTTTCAGGAAGCCCTGGGCTGTGTCCTGGCTCCCGGACATGACGTGGACAGCACAGGGGAGCCAGGGCCTGGGAGGGGCTCCCCTCTACTGGGGCAGCCCTCCGGGCTCGGTGCTATTTGTAACAATAAACTTTGTAGTTAGACCCCAAGTGCCTGCTTGTCTTTCTTCGGTGTTAGTGGCCTCCGCCCACTGGTGTAGGGAATGGGCCCCTGTCCCGGGTTGGGGTGATCCAGCTCCCATGAGCTGGCCCAGTGTGACGGTGAGTCGCAGCATGGCCGTGCTCCCTGGGGGCAGCAGGAGCCTCCCTTGTGCTGCCCCTGGCTAGCAGGACTCTCACCTTCCCTCTGGACCTGCAGCTGGGCCCTCTGGGAGGCTGGGGCGCCGCCTTGGCCTCCCCACTTCCCAAGGTGGTGGGGGTGGGCAGGGGCAGTGCAGCTGCCTGAGAAGCCTGATGATTTCCTGCGCTCACCACAGCTTCCTGCCGCAGAGGGGAGGCGGGTGAGCTGGGGTAGGGACGCCTGGCGCAGGGACCTGGTGGAGGGTGGCTGGGGTGCGGGCTGCACAGCGGGTGATCGAGGCCCCAGACCCCAGCCCAGGCCCCGGCCTCACCACTCGACCAGGATCTCCCAGAACTGGCCCAACCCCCTCACCAGCCAGGCCTGGGGCCCGGGAGCCTGCAGGAGGGCACAGCCGAGGCCCCCACGCGCCCGCTGCCACTTTGCTAGCAGGGCCTACCTTGGGCTCTCCTGCAGATGGAGGTGAGCAGCCTGGTCCTCACTGAGCCCCTGGGCCTCCTGCTGCTGCCCCTCGTCGCCATGCTGCTGATGGCCCTGTGTGTGCGCTGCCGAGAGTTGCCAGGTGAGCGGGAGCAGCCAGGTGCTGGGCACACAGGGCCCCTCTCTGGCTCCCCTCCTGAGTCCCCGTCAACGCTGTCCTGACCGAAGGGCCTGGCTCTTAGGTCCTCCCCCTCTAGCCATGTCCCTGCCTCAGGGGTGCCCAGGGCCAGCTGCAGCAGATGTGTGGACAGGTGAGTGACCGACTGCCTCTCTCCCCAGCCTCCTGTGGCGGTGCTGACGAGGACCGGTGAGTCTCCCCCACCCTGCGGGTCTCCCGGTGCCTGAGGTCGGCCGGGCCGGCCCCCCTGGGCCCCATACCCAAGCTGTGTCTCTTTGCAGTTCACACACAGAGAGCATCCTGTTCAAGCCGCCCCGTGAGTGCAGGGGGTCTCCTGCCCGAGCTGGGACCCTTGGGTGTGAGCACGTGGGCCTCTGTGTGGCCCCTGCCCTGGGCTGCCTGCGTGCTCCTGACCAGAGCTAGGGTGTGGGAGAGGTGGGAGCCCCAGGCCTGGCCAGGGTGCGGGTCGAGGGCTTAGTTTGGCCTGGAGGCCTGGGGTCTGGAGTTACTCCTTCAAGCGTGGCTCTGTCCTCAGAAGCGCCGGCCCCCTGGCCTGCTGCCTACCCACCCCCGAGCCAGGTGGACCTGCTGCACATCCCGTGAGTACAGACCGACTGCCCCTTGTACTGGCTTCTGGCCTCCCCTGCTCCCTCGCTTTCTGGGCCAGGGCTTTTTCTTGCCCCCAGGGCTCCCCCCAAAACGTGACCCCTGACCTTCGACTCCCCACAGAAGGTCCCCACAGCCCCTCGGGGGTTCCCACCGGATGCTGTCTTCACGGCAGGACTCAGAAGGGGGTAAGGACGGAGACGGACTCGGGGGGCTGGGGCTGGCCAGAAGACCGGCAGAGCCTGCCCTGACTCCGTCTCCCCCTCGCTCTCTCTCTGAAGCCAACAGTGTGGCGAGCTATGAGAACCAAGGTGTGTCTGGGCTGCCCGCCAGGCTGGGTGGGGGTCTGGGCTGGGCCCCAGGCCAGACTGAGCCAGTCTCTCTCCCAGAGCCAGCCTGTGAGGATGCAGATGAAGACGACCTGGAGGAGGAGGAGGACTATCCCAACGAGGGCTACGGGGGCTACGTGTGAGTGGCCGGCGGGAGGCGGGGCCTGGGGCCAGCACCCAGCTCACCCACGCCATCTTCCCCCCAGGGAGGTGCTGCCCGACAGCGCCCCAGCCAGCGGTGCTGCTGACCCAGCGGAGGCTCCGGTGCCCAGCAACCCCGGCGCCCGAGGCAGTGCCTTCTCCAGTGAGTGGCACTCCCCCCCCAGCCCCTTCTCTCTCCCTCTTCCTTGTTTGAAGATTCCACCCCTTCTGTGTCCTCCCTCCGATGTTCCTCCTTCCTTCTCTGATCTGATTTTCTTAATTTTTCTCTCCCATTTCCTATCTGTCTTCCTTTTTATCTGTTATCTGGGAGATTTCCTTGACTTATTCTTCAATCTTTCTATTGAAATTTTGTTTTTCCTACCCCAAAGCTCTTTCTTGGTCCGTAAATGTCCTCTTTGGTTTTATTGTTGTTGTTGCTGTTTTGAGACAAGGTCTTGCTATGTAGTTCAGGGTGGCTTTGAACTCACTTTGAACTCACAAGGCCCAGGCTGGCCTTGAAGTCCCAGTGATCCTCCTGCCTCAGCCTCCTGAGTGCTGGGATTACAGGTATGCACCACCATACCTGGCTTTCTGCATGTACTTTTTATGTAGCTTCCTGTTCTTGTTTCATGGAGGCAAAGTCATTTTGTCAGTGTCTAAAGATACTGATTAGAGGTGTTTTTTTTTTTCTTCCTGGACGTTTTCTTCAGCTTCCTGCATGGTCTTAGTTTTCTTTGTTGCTTTTCTCTCTTTGGTTTGATCTCATCTCCTGGGCATTCCTCAGTATCTGGTCTTCAGTTTTCTGCTACTCTCTTCTCTCTAGGCATTGAATATCCCTTATTTGAAACAATTGGGGCCAGAAGTATTTCAAATTTTAGAAATTTTGGATACTCATAATGAATTAATCATGTGGGACCCAAGTGTAAACACAAAATTCATTTATGCTATGCATAAATATTACATAGCCTGGAGGTAATTTAGTATGATATTTTAAATAATTCTGTGTATGAAGCTCCCTTTGATAGTATGGAATTTACCATTTGCAGCAGCATGTTGACACACAAAAGACTTGGGTTTTAGAGCATTTTGGGCTTTGGGTTTTCCGATGGGAGATGCTCAGCCTGTCCAGATGTCCCCTGCCTGTCCCTTCCACGCCCTGGCTCCGTTTGCCACCCAGATTTCCAAATTGCTTCCTCTTGCCCACGTGCCAGGCTGTCCAGGTGGATTCATCCACCCATCATTCGCTGTGTGTGTCTGCTAGGAAGACGGAATATTGAGGCGGTCAATAAGCTGCCTGCCTGCACGGAGGCCTGCTGCCTGCCCGCTAAGAGCTCGTGTGCTTGACTTATACACCTCGCTATCCCCTGGTGCCCACTCCTCCTCTCGTTCCTTAGTCGTGCCCTGTCTGGCAGGATTTGTTTATGTATTGCTTTATTTATTCTTCTTGACAATGTCTTGCTATGTTCCCACGCTGGCCTTGAACCCCTGGGTGCGAGCAGTCTTCTTGCTCAGCTCTCAAGCAGCTGAGACTCCAGGCATGTGTCAGCACCCAGCCCAGCGCAGGCTGACTTGTTTAACAGACATTTGTCAGCACTGGCTGTGTGGCAGGCCCTATTTTGGTATTCATTGGTTTATAATCCTCACAACAGTTGCAAAGTCAGTCCTATTCCTAACCATTGTACAGATGAGAAGCCAGGCACAGAGAGGGCAGGTGACATGTCTGTCCGAGGTCACAGTCACTGAGTGCTTGTCTGGCTCCAGAGTCCACCTTATAAAGCAGCACATCAAAGAGCCGAATGAGGCTGGGCGCTGATGCCTCAGAGAGACTGAGAAGGCGTGCGGGCTGGGTGGGCAGAAGCGGAGGGCCGGCCTGGCCTTGATGGGGAGGGTGGTCGGCTGGGCGGAGGTGTTGCTTCTCCCCCACGTGTGCCGCTAAAGCTCCTGCAGAGCCCAGCTGGGGCCTCCACTGTCTGGGCCCTCTAGCTGTGCCGTTAGGGAGCCCCTGCCACCCACCTCTGTGGGCCTTGCCTTCGTCCAGCTGCTGTTGTTTACCCAGGCTGTTCAGAGTCTCAGGGTTTCTGCCCCTGGGAGCCGGACATCCAAGTTGGGGGACCCGTGGGGACTGTGGGTGTGGGCTCTGGTACAGGCGCTGGGTTGGGCTGAGCCCTTTGCTCCCCTGCAGTGGAGTTCCGAGAAGACTACGTGAATGTCCCCGAGAGCGAGGAGAGCGCGGAAGTATCTCTGGGTGAGTGGCAGGCCCGGCCGCCTGCTCCCTGGTGTCCTGGCCTCACTGTGGCTGGCCCTTCCGCATGTCTGTTCTTCTCTGACCTGTTTCCTAGATGGGAGCCGGGAGTATGTGAACGTATCCCAGGAGTTGCAGCCGGGGGCCAGGACGGAGCCTGGTACGGACGGGGTGGGGAGGCCCCGGGGGCCGGCTGGCAGGCTGGCCGCCAACCCCTGCTCCCCTCCAGCCGCCCTGAGCTCCCGGGATGTGGAGGATGAGGACGAGGACGAGGATGAAGAGACCCCGGATTATGAGAACCTGCAGGAACTGAGTTGAGTGCCGGTGAGTGGCTTCCTCGAGCCCGTCCCGGGCTGCCCCATCCTCACAGCCCACCCTTCTGGCTCCGGGTGCCTGCTGGTCCCGCCAACCTCCTCTCCCCTTCCCCTGTTGTGTTTCAGCCGAGGCCGCTGTCCAGGAACCAGCCTGGCTGGGGATCGAGCTGGGTAGCCGGAAAAAGCCCCGGGGGCCCAGTGGGACCCGGGCCTGGCTGTAGCCTGAGTACCCTCCCCTAACTTATTGTCACTCTGGGGTCCACTCTGTGTCCCCAGTACTCTGCACCTTCTGAAGCAGCCTGAGAATGAACCTCCCTGGCCCCAGCCCTTCTCTTCAGAATGGAATAAAGGCCACTGTGGTCTGCAGAGTTCTTGGCTTCAGGGCCCCAGCTTGGGCCTGTGGGCCTGGCTATGTCCAGTGAGTGTGTGTGAGTGTGTGTGTGTCCCTCATGCTCCCCAAGGTCCCGGCCAAGTGCTGCATGACAGCAGACAGTGGCTAGGACGCCGTCCCCTCCTGAGTGAGGGCCACCTGGCCAGCACTCCCCTGATGCGGCCGTGGAGGCGCAGGACAGGGGTGGGGGAAGTGACAGCAAGACCCCACCCCGCTGGCCTCCGGCTGTTCTCAGAGGAAGGAGCTGGCCCTGGAACTGACTCAGAGGAGCTTAGTTCTCAGTAAGACAGGACTCACAGATGGCCCTAGTGAGCCAGGAGAGCCTGTGGCCCCAGCTGCTCTGGAGGCGGATGCCGGAGGACCCCAGTGTGGTCCAGGTTGGGTCCAGCCCGAGAGCAGCCCTCCCTGTGGCATGGAATAGAGCCCAGGGGGTCTGCAGCTCTTGACTGTGAAATGCCTGGGTGCCAGGTGGCTGGGATGCTGGCCTGACTGCGCCAGGCTGTCTCTGCATCCGAGGGAGCTGGGCAGCCCCTGCACCCCAGCCCTGTCCCGAGAGCTGCACCCCAGGAGTGACTTGACCTGGCCAGGACCCACCTCCCTGCACTCTGGGACTCTCCCTCGCTTCCCCAGGTGCAGCCTCTCCCGGCCCCATCTGTGTGGGTCTGCAGGTGACCGAGCCAGCCCTGCACCTCAGGTGAGACCACCGTGACAGCCTGGGCTGAGGTGCAGCCTGGGATTTGGCAGGAAGTACTGGAGAGGGGAAGCCCTCTGACCATAACTGCCACAGCCGGTGGGGTCGCCTCTCTGAGGCCACTGGGATGGAGAGTGGCTCAGAGCCAGGCAGGACCAGCTTCCCGACAGTGTTGCCAGGACTCCGGGCTCCACACCCGTAAGCAAGGACCCCAGCCTGGCTTCCTGGTCACAGGGGCCAATAAATTACAGCTTCTGTGCAGCTTAGTGGCTTGGAGTTTCTTTCACTGAGACCAAAGAGGTGCGGTTAGAGACCCTTCGCACTGCTCAGGGAGGGCCGGTGACTGCCCAGGCAGACAGCCAGCTAGCAGGAGAGGGGTCTGCAGCAGGCCAGTGGGTCCTGGAGTCACTGGTCTGCTGCCCCTGGCCTCCTTGTTGTGGTTTTTGTGCCAAGTGTTGGCTGTCCCAGCAGGGAAGTGCATCAGAGACCCAGACAGAGGAAATGGGGAGGGAGTTGGGACAGATGGGGGCAGGGGAAGAGGACAGAGGCAGCTCTGTGCCTGGGCCAGCTGTGTGCCAGCAAGGGTGCCTGCAGTGACATTCAGAGCAGTCGCTGCATCCCGAGGGGTGGCCATGTGCCTGGCCCGAACCAGTGTGGCACTGGGCGAGGTGGTGGGGCAGGCGGGCCAGGTGCTGTGAGGGCCACGGAGTGGGGTTTGGGCCGGTGAGGGCTCAGCAGCAGGTCCTGGGCACGGGTCAGGTTGCCACCCAGCATGAGCGGCCCGCAGAGCCAGCTCTGCAGTTGGAACACAGGAGTGACCCCGTGAGTGTCCCCAACTGAGATGTGCTGGAGCAGAACTGCTTGGATTTCTGGGGGTTTTTTCCAGTACCGGGAATTGAACTCAGGACCTTGTGCTTGCCAGGCAGGTGCAGTGCCACTGAGCTAAATCCCAGGCCCTTTTGTTTTGTTTTTTAAGGCAGTGTCTCAGTAGATTGCCCAGGTTGGCCTCAAACTCACGACCCTCTGGGCTCAGCCTCCAGAGTGCTGGCTTCAGGCTGTGACCAGCACAGGAAGCTGGTGTATGCTCAACCTTGAGACAGGGTGCCCAGGCTCAAACATGAAACCCTGCATGGTTCACATGCACTGGTACACACGCCAGGAGGTGCTTTACACAGTCTCCGTGGTGGCCCGCGTCTCACTGCAGCCTGCCCCTTAAGGTGGGTTGGGATTTCCTCTGTGGCATCCTGCCAGTGGTCAGTGTGTTGGATTTGGAGCATTTGGGGCTTAGAGACTTGGATTAGGGATGGTCAGCCTGTCTGTTGTTTGGTACGCATGTGTGTAACAGTGTCAAGTTTAAGTGCAGGAGTGAGGACTGGCAGAGCATGGCAGGCGGGCAGCAGGAACCTCCTCCTTAGGGCTGCAGGACAGGAATGAGGTGGGGGAGGAGCTCTGAGAGGCCTCTGTGAAATGTGCAGGGAGGGACAGGGACGGGGTGCCCTACTCACCTGGCCCTCGTGAGGCTCTGGGTTCCATCCTCAGCACTGAAAAAAAAATATCTGGGTGTGATGCCGCTCGCCTATGATCCTAGCACCCGGGAGGCTGAGGCAGGAGGACTGCAGTGAGTTCAAGGCCAGCCTGGGCTACATAACAAGACCCTGTCTCAAAAAGAATATAGGCGTCCGGGGATTTAGCTCAGTGCTTCTGCCGCCTGCCTCACAAGCTCAGGGTCATGAGTTCAATCCCCGATACAAAAAATAAAAAAAAGAATACGAGCCAGGTGTGATGGTGCACACCCATAATCCCAGTCCTGTGAGAGGCTGAGGTTCAATGTGGCAAGGTTGAGACCAGCCTGGGCAATTTAGCAACTTAGTGAGACCTGGTCCCAAAATAAAGAATGGGCTGGGGATGTGGCTCAGTGCGAATGCCCTGGTTCAGTCCTCAGTACTGGCCCCTAATAAATAAATAAATAAATAAATATTTAAAAAAAAGTGCAATGGGGCCAGGGATTTAGCTCATGGTTCCTGCGCCTACCTCGAAAGCACAAGGTCCTGAGTTTGATCCCCGGTACTAAAAACAAAAACAAAAACAAGTGCAATGGCAAGAGGGAGCTATGAGTGTTTATTTTCAAAATTTTATTTATTTCCTTATTTGGGTTTTTGAGACGGGGACTCACAATGGAGTCCAGGCTGGCCTTGAATTTAGGGTGATTCTCCCAAGGGCTGAGACCACAGGTGTGTGCCATCCCCAGATTGTTTTTTTCTTTTCTTTTTGAGACAGTCTTGCTGGGTAGCCCAGGGTGGCCTCAAATTTACAATGATCTGCCTGCCTCAGCCTCTGAAGTGCTGGGATTACAGGTGTGTGCACCACCACACCTGGCTCTTCAAGCATAGATCTGAATGATTTCAAAATAACTGAGATCAAGGCCCCAGGAGGGAATGGGTGGGGACACAAGATGTGGAGTAGGCTACTTTAGCAGAGAGTGAGCAAAGCCCAAAGTCACTGGTTGCTTTGTGCCAGCCAGGTGGCTGAGCTGTCTGGCACATGCAAAGGTCCTGAGGTGCCTCTGAAGAACTAGCAGATGTTGCATGTTGTGAGATTGGAGAAGGCGCAGAGGTGAGAAAGGCCAGAGATCGGGGTGAGCGGGCATGGAAACTATCCCGGGACCCACGGGCCGCCCCTGGAGGCTTCAGAGCCAAGCATGATGAGGTCAGATTCGTGTTTTGGCAAATATCTCTTGAGTGGCTGCTGGGAGGGTCAGTGAGGAGGGCAGGGAGGAAGGGAGGTCAGCAGGAGGTTGTTGGTGTAATCCACAGGGTGGCCCGGCTGTGGGCTGGGGAGGTCCCGGCGCTGGAGAAAAGTGGGGGGAGGTGGGCGGCAGAGAACTCTCGGGGCTGCTGGGAAGACACTGGGACATCCGGGTGCTCCTCAAAGCCAGCGCTCGCGGACTTGCGGACTTGGGTTTCTTGGGTTTCGTGGGAGGAGGGTCCCAGAGGGCGGTGGTGGGGCGGGACGCGAGGAAGGGGAGGCAACCGGCGGGGGCACCTGGGCTGGCACCCGGGCCCCGCCCGCCCCGGCCTTGCTCTTTCAGTGGAACCTGAATAAGCAAGGAGACCCCTGTGTACGCGGAGGCGGTTCGGGGCGCACCCTTCCAGGTTCCCCAGGTAACGCGGATCAGGAGCCCTAGCACCCGGGGAGCCCCAGCACCCGGAGAGCCCCGAAGTCGCCCACTGGGCCGGCTTGAGGCACGTGGCTCCACTGAGCCAATCACTGGCCGGGAGGACACCGTGCTGCTGTGGTGGGGCGTGCCTGTAATTCTAGCACTCTGGGAGGCTGAGACAGGAGAGTTTCCTGCCCAAGCCCCGCCTGGGCAACTTAGCAATTTAAAGAGAACCTGTCCCAAAAGAGGGAGTGGTGTGCGGATCGGTTCCATCTCCAGTACTGGAAAAAAAGAAAACAAAATCGGAGGCCCTTCCAGAAGGGGGCCCGGCTGCTGAGGTGCGTTTATTCTACCTTCACTGTGTGCCACAGTCCTCACTCACCGCAGCTGTCCTCAGGTACGGAGACCAGGGAGCAGGATCAGAGTGGTAAATGATTTGCCTACGGTCACACAGCAGGTGCCCAAGTCCTTAAGGAAGTGCAGCTCACTCTGAGGTGGAGGGAGGATTCGAAGCCGGCGCCAACGCAGAGATGGAGACAGCGGAACAAAAGGGAAGCGGGTGGAGGGGGCTTCTGCGTGGGGCGGGGGTCTCGCCAGGCCTCAGGAAGGAGGCTGGCGCCGAGGCAGAGCCAGGAGCTGCCCCCGCCGCGGAGAAGGGCCGGGCCTGAGAAGGGGGAGGGGAGGCCCTGGATCCTGAAGCTGGGTCCTCGAGAGCCGCTCAGCCCCGCGGGCCTGCGGGCCCCGGCTCGGCTCGGCTCGGCTCGGCTCCGGTTTCGGCTCGGCTCAGCTCGGCTCCGGCTCCGCGGCGGCTGCTTCTGTGGTTTCCGAATGAAGGCGCCTGACTCAAGGCCGCCGTGAGTCGCTCCCCCGGCGCCCGCGAGCCCCCGCCCTGTGCCCGCCGCGCTCTTCCCAGCGGCCCGTCTGCAGGCCAGGCTGTCCGGGGTGGCCCGGGCCCGAGCCGCACGCCCACCTGCTCGCGGCCGCGGCTCCTGTTTCCGGGTCCCTCCGCACCCCGCACGCCCACCCCTCGCTCGGCCTCTTCCACCTGTGCTTTCAGTTTTGGCCTCCCTGCCTCCGCCTCTGTCTCACGTCCCTCTCCTTCCCGACTCTTGTCTCTGCCTCGCGTCCATGTTTGTTTGCCATTCGGGACCCAGCCCCGGGCCTTCGCGCTGAGCTACATCCCTAGACTTTTCGTCTTTAGTGTCGAGACGAGGTCTCCCTATGTTGCCAGGTTGGGCTAGAACTCGCGATCCTCCTGCCTCAGCCTCCTGAGTAGCTGGGGTGACAAGTGTGTGCCGTCAAATCAGCTTCGTGTCTTCTTTGTCCGACTGTCGTCTTTGTCCTTCTGCCTTTCTGTCGCGGCTGCCGTCTCCCTTCTCCCCGCGCCTGTCTCTGATCTCGCTCTCCTCTCCCTGCCCCTCCCTCCCCACATCCTGAGTTGTCTTTGGGGAACCGGAAATTTGGGGGATCAGCGATACCGGGAGGCTCAGCTGCTGCGGCCTAGATGGCGGGGCGGGACGGGGCGGGGTCTCCTCCTCCTGGGGGCGAGGGCAGGAGGGGTCGCACTGGGGCATCGAGGCTGAGGGGCGCAGTCGCCCGCTGCAGCTGCCCCGTCCTCGCGAGGGCGCTGGGGAGCCCTCTTGTCACACGGCAGGGACGCGGGGTGGCAGGGCTTGGACCAAGGGACCCCTCTGGGCTCAGTAACTCCCTGGGCGTCGGGCCGGGAGCCTCTAGACAGCTCCCGCACCCGGCCACCCCAGCTGCACCAGGGAGCAGGGCCCAGCTCCGGCCCAGCCAGGCGGCTCTGAACTTACTTTGATTTTGTTTTAGGGCAAGGAACACTCATTCAGGGGTGTGGCACATAGTTGCCTTTTAAGTGAATTCAAATTTAAAAAGGAAATCATTTTAGCCAGTTGTAGTAGCACAACCTGTAATCCCAGCACTCAAGAGGCCGAGGCAGGAGGATCACAAGTTCAAGGCCAGCCTGGGCTGCACAGTGATATGAAAGGCAGCTAAGTTAGGACTTAAAGTACAGTCAGAGGGGGACTGAGCCCTCAAGGCTCAGCACAAAATAAAGAGCAGAATTGTGGCTAGAGGCACCTGAGGAAGACCAGGCCTCCAAGGGATGAGGCACTGGCCCTGCCTGGGAGCCTCAGAGGCATGAACAGTGCCTGGGGTTAGACTGTACTGAGCTCCAGGCCATTCCCAGCCCTTCCCAAAATTCCTGCCTGCCTTCCTTTCCTTTCTTGTACGGGGCATCGAACTCAGGACCTTGTGCTTGTGAGGCAGGCAGTGGAGCCACTGAGCTAAATCCCCAGCCAATGCCTTTGTTTTTTCCATGTTAGAAGTTACAGGCAAGCGCAAGTTAATGGCGCTCACCATAGGCCCTCTACATGGTCTGCGTTCCTATTAGATCAATATCAGCTAAGCAATCTTATTTTTAAATTATTTATTTTTGTTTTTTTGAGACAGGGCCTCACTAGTAGTTCAGTTTGGCCTTGAACTCAAGGTGATCCTCCTGCCTCAGCCTCATGAGTTCTGGGATTACAGTTGTGCACCACCCAGGCTGGCAGCAGTCTTTTTGGTTGATTGTAGTCCGAGCCGCTTTGTACCCACGTTGTCACTTAGAAAACTAGAAGAGACTTGAGTACAGGACCTTGTAGATAGGGGTTCAGAAGGCCCAGGTTGTGTGTGTTTATTTGGAGGAGGGCCTGGAGTGTGACTGCAGTCTCCAGAGCTGGGACCTCAGCCTTCCAGGCCCTGGCAGGACAGACCCGCTGGGCCTCGTGAAGCCAGAGCCCTGGGTGGCTGCACAGGATCCCAGGTGGAGGAGGCAGCAGGAGCGGGGCGGCCACTGCTCTGCACACACAGACATCCCAGCCCTAAGTGTCACCCCAACCCAAGCCCTGGCCCAGGCCCAGGGGAAGTGGGGCTGGCCTTGCTGCTCTCCCCAACTGGGTTTCTCCCGCCTAAGGCAGGACTGGGGGCTGCGGAAGCTCCTTTCCCGATTGCCTGACGTCAGCTCTACCTGCCTTGCTGGGAGCCCCCTCCTGCTCTGGGCTGCTGGAGTACTGACTTTTAATTCAGGGACTCAGGAGATGTGGGGTTTTGGGTGAACCCTTCTCTGGGACAAAACAGTTATCACTGATTTTTTGTTCTTGTTTTTTTTTTTTGAGAAAGAGTCTCTCTGAAGTTCAGGCTGGCCTTGAACTATGTAGCGCTGGCTGGCCTCAAACTCAAGGTGATCCTCCTGCCTCAGCCTCCTGGGTGCTGGGATCACAGGAGTGCACCACCACCCCTGGCATTGATTTTCTTAAAATCATAAAAGATGACAATGCATTTGAACCCCCCAAACAAGTTTAACCCCATTAAAACTGCTCTTTATCTGCAGCATTTCCACTGCCTCCTCTCATTCCTGCCCCTAGGCCCTCACACTTCCTCTTCCCTCTCCCCGGAGCTCTGGCTGGAATCCTGTCATTTGGATCCAGGCTGAAATTTCCCCTCCTTGGAGGGGTCTTTTCCATGTGATCTTGTCACCATCCCCTGCATTCTGTTAGTTACCCTATGGAATTGGCTTTGTGACACTCATCGTTTTCACATTTCTTTGACACTGGAATCAAACCCAAGTCCTTATGCACGCTAACCCTGTGCTCCACTGCTGCCTGTACCCCAGCCCCAGCACTGACGTTTGTGTGCATTTGCTGTCTCACATCTGCCCCTGTCTGGACCCTGGCTCTGGCCCATCAGCCTCACTGAGGGGCTGGCAGGGCGCTGGGCACAGAGCAGGTGCTCAGCAAGTATTGTGTGAATGAATTTAGAAAGCACTTTAAGCTGGCCGTGGTGGTGGAGCCTATAATCAGCTCTCGGCAGGCTGAGGCAGGAGTATCACCTTGAGTTCGAGGCCAGCCTGGGCTACATCGTGAGACCCTGTCTCAAGAAACCCAAAGTAAATAAATAAATAGTGAGCTTCAAAATGACAGGTGCTGGAGACCCTCAGTACCGTGCTCCCGTGGCCCTGGGGAGGCTCTGTCTGGAGGATGGGCTGCACACTGGTGGCCCAGGTTAATTTTTTTAAAGAAAATTTGTAGTTAAAAAGCCCGTGTGGCATCCAGTTACCATCTACCCATGTGAGATGCGCGGCTCAGCAGCACAGTGCGTGCGTTCACACAGTCACACAGCGCTGTGCCACAGGCCTCCAGTGCTCTCGGCTTGCGAAACAAAGCTCTACTCACTGAGCGGCTCCACTCCCTCCTCCAGCTCCTGCAGCCGCCCTGCCACTTTCTATTTCCTGTCTTCCTGTGGTGGGCTGGTTTCATCCAGCATGATGTCCTCAGGTTGTCGCCCATGCAGCATGGGGCAGAATTTCCTGCCTTTTCTTTTTTAATTTTAATTTTTTGCAGTACTAGAGGTTGAACCCAGGACCTGCATTGAGCTACATCCCCAGCCCTTATTTACTTATTAGTTTTTGAGATAGGGTCTTGCTGTGTAGTCCAGGCTGGTCTTGAACTTGGTATGTAGCATAAGTGTAGCCTCACTATATACCCCAGGCTGGTCTCACACGAGAAGTGATCCTCCTGCCTCAGCCTCCCGAGTGCTGGGATTACAGGTGCGCACCACCACGCCTAGGTATTTATTTATTTGTTTGCTTATTTATTTTTGGTACGGGAATTGAAGGCAGGATCTTGTACTTTCCAGGCAGGTGTCAGAACCACTGAGCTAAATCTCCTGCCCCCAGCTATTTATTTTTGAGACAGTGTCTTGCTAAATCACCCAGGCTATCCTCAGACTCACTATCCTCCTGCCTCAGCCTCCTGCATAGCTGGGACTACAGACAAGTGCCACAGTGCCTGGCTATTTGCAAAGTTCTAAAATTAAAAATTAAATGTGTTTTAAATGGTCAGTACATAGAATAACAAAATTTTCAAAGAAAAGAAAAAGAGTCCGCTGCTGTGATTCAAGACCCCAAAGGCGTTGCAGGGTGGTACAGCTGCCGTCCCACTCCTGGGCTCTGCATCTGTGGTTGAAAATCCTGAACGAATTTTTTTCGTCTGTTCTGAGCACATCCAGTCGCTTTCCTGTGTCAATACTGAGTAACAAGTACTTAGCACTTGCCTTGTCTGAGGCACTGTAAGTCATCTGGAAATGACTCAAAGTTGCTCCGCCTCATGGGAGGATGCGTGCGCGTATGGGCAAATACACAGCCATTTCATTAAAGGACTTGGTATGGAGAGGCCCTGGAACAAACCTCCGGACACAGAAAACCTCCCACCCGGTCCCTGGCCATCAAGTCCCTGTCCACGGCACCCTGGTGTCTCTGGTTACCCAGGGTTCTCACGAGTCTAGAAGCAAACGTACTCCCGTAGTCGCTGCAGCTGTTTTGTACACAAATGCTAGTAGTTTGCTTTCTTAAAATTTGTAAAGAGTGTTGGGGATTGAACACATGTCCTTCACGCTGAGGCACGTCCCCAGCCCCTCCCCGCCTTTCATTGTAAGACAGGGTCTCACTAAGTTGCTGTTGCCTGGGTTGGGCTGGAACTTGTGCTCCTGCTGCCTCAGCCTCCCGAGTGCTGGATCGCAGGCGTGCGCCCCGCGTCCTGTCCTGCTGCGTCTTTACCTTTCATGAAACAATGTACAGGAGTCCCCTGCGCCCCCCCATCTGTGGTTTTGTGGTCCATAGTTTCAGTTACCCGGGGTCAAATGGGGTCTGAAAATACTAAATGTGAAATCCCAGAAATAGAAAATTCATGTTTTAAATTGCATGGCATCCTGGGCAGCGTGATGATGTCTTTTACCATCTCATTCTGTCCACCCTTTGCGCCCCTTTTCAAAGCACACGACAGAGGGGTCTGTTTGT